GGGGACTGTAAACCTACCATCCCGGAATTGGAAGCTGAAGAAGATTTGATTGCTGCAGTTCAGCAAATTGTGAAAGCATTGGGAACGAATAGGAATTTGACGGATGATGCTTGGAAAATATTGGCAAATTTAGGGTTACAATTGTCTAATATTGCTAAAGTCAATGAAAGCAAAGAGGAGGCGGATTTGGAAGAAGATGAAGGACTTTGTGAGACTGAGCAGCAGCTTAATGAGATTCGGGATAAGATCATGGATCGGGAGAAAGACGATTCTATGATATGGGATCGTAGGCCTGAAGAAGCTTATGAGTATTTGAAGGTTGTGGACCGAGCTCAAAAGTTGACTAAGAGCTTGGAGAATTTGAGTGTAAATGGTTTTTGCAATGCCAATGCGCTCCTTCTTAGGGCTCATGACGTTCTTCAAACGGCAATGGCTAGGCTCGAAGAGGATTTTAGGCACTTGCTCGTACAAAACAGGCAGCCTTTTGAGCAGGAGCATGTCTCTTTTCGTTCAAGTGAAGAGGATATTGTGGAGGCAGGTTCTATTGCTTCCTTCGGGGATGATTCTATCGAAGATGTAGTCCAAAGAGATAGTGTGAGCCAACGCTCGGAGGATTATGTCTTTGAATTGGTGCACCCTGATGTGGTTCCTGACCTAAAAACAATTGCTAAATTGATGTTTGACTCAACTTATGGTCAGGAATGTTCTCAGATGTTCATCAATGTTCAAAGAGATGCTTTAGATGACTGCCTTTACATCCTTGAAGTGGAGAAATTAAGCATCGAGGATGTGCTGAAGATGGAATGGAATACATTGAATTCAAAAATCAGGAGATGGATGTGGGCTGTAAAGATTTTCGTGCGGGTTTATCTTGCCGGTCAAAAATTACTTAGCGATCAGATTTTTGGAGAGCTCGATTCGGCTAGTTCTGTTTGCTTCATTGAGTCGTCAAAACCTGCAATTTTGCAGCTTCTGAATTTTGGGGAAGCTATAGCCATCGGTCCACATCAACCTGAAAAGTTGATTCGAATTCTTGACATGTATGAGGTGCTTGCTGATCTTATTCCAAATATCGATGCTTTATACTCTGATGAAACCGAGTATCACATTAGAACCGAATGCCACGAGACCTTAAGGAGATTGGGTGAATGTGCTAAAGCAACCTTTCTTGAATTCGAGAATGCCGTTGCTTCCAATGTGTCGGCCAATGCTTTTCCCAGAGGTGGAGTCCACCATCTGACGCGTTACGTTATGAATTACCTCAAGACTCTTACAGATTACAGCAAGACTCTTGATTTTCTCCTGAAGGACGAAGATAAAGAAGATTCTGTTTCAGTTTCTCCCGACACAAGTCCAGTCAGTGAAGAGGAAAGTGTTGGTAGAAGCTCAAGTGCTTCTCCAATGGCTCTGCACCTCCGAGCCCTTATTTCTATTTTGGAATGCAACCTTGAAGAGAAATCTAAGATGTACAGGGAAGAGTCGTTACAGCACCTTTTCCTGATGAACAACATACACTACATGGCGGAAAAGGTTAAGAATTCGGAACTCAGGGCAGAACTAGGCGATGAATGGATTCGGAGGCAAAACAGGAAATTTCAACAACAAGCAATGAGCTACGAGAGAGCCACTTGGAGCTCAATCCTCTCATTACTTAGGGATGAAGGGATCCAAAATCCTGGTTCAAATTTAATTTCAAGAACTATTCTCAAGGAGAGGCTGCACAGCTTTTGTCTTGCTTTCGAGGAGGTCTACAAAAGCCAGACAGGATGGTTAATCCCAGATGGCCAACTTCGAGAAGATCTCCGAATCTCCA